GCCGCGGGGGCGGTGGAAACATGAAGGCGGGGGGGGGCGCTTGCTGTAGCAATTGCGTAGTGTAGCGTCTGGCACGCTAACAAATCCAGGGTTTCGTGCCGATGGGCGATGTTACCTTCGGAAGAGGACGCGACGCGCCACATTCCTCATCCAATGCCCCTGCGGTGTGTGGGGGCGTTGTGGCCCCGCCGTCCTGGGACGTTCTTCAAGACGAGCGTTTCCTGGACGGTGGGGGGGGTGCCGCGTCCATGATAGCGTGTCCAGAAAAAGCTGTCCCGCGCTGCTTGAGCCCCGAAAAAGCAACGAATGGCTACAGTTGGGTGGTCCACGCTTACTTCCTCCGGTTGCCACGGGCCTCCCAGGGATCCCCGCCGGCCCCCGCTGTCAGTCCGCCGCAGTCTATTTGTGACTTCTGTCGGGCGACACGAACCTCCCCTGGGCCGTCGCCCGTAGGCTGCACGTACTTCCGCGGCCTCCTGCGGGCCGTCGGCCGCAGGCTGCACGTACTTCCGCCGGCTGCCGCCGACCTCCCGCCAACGTCTGTTGGCAAGAGCGTCCGCCTCTCCGCCAGCTCTGGCGGGCCCTCAGCCGGTGGGCCCCGCCTACTCCCGCCGACTGCCGCCGACCTGCCGCTTGCTCCTGCCAGCGCAAGAGCCCCCCCTTCGAACGGCCCCCGCGGACCGTCGGCCAACTTCTGGCGCCGGCCGCCGGGCTGTGCCAGAAGTCGGTCCAGGACTGACTTCTGGCGCGGGCCCGCGTCGGAAGTCGGTCCTGGACCCACTTCCGACGCGGGCCCGCGTCGGAAGTCGGTCCTGGACCCACTTCCGACGCGGGCCCGCGTCGGAAGTCGGTCCAGGACCGACTTCCGGCGCGCCCTTCTGTCTCCGCCCCAACCCTCGTCGGCGCCGTCGCCGGCGTTGCCCCTGCCGCCCTCTAGCGTTTTCAAGCCTCGGCGGGGGCCGCGCCCCCCCTCGCGCGTCCTCCTTCCTCCTCACTGCCCCCTCCCCCAGTTTTCCTCCTCGCCCCCCTCCTCGCCCCATTCCCCCCTTCCCCCGCATCCCCATCCACCGCCTAATTGTATTCCTCCTGCTCCTGCTCCTGCTCCTGCTCCTCCTTCCCTCTCCTATCTGCCGCGCCTGCGGCGTTCGGGCACCGCGCAACATATGTTTGTTTCGTTTTCTGGCGCCCGCGCCATGCCTGCCAAGATGAAGGCGGCTGCCACGACACGCGCGTCGACGATGACGAACGTGGATGGCGCCAGCGTGCCGCGGCAGAAGGCGCAGATAACGAAGGCGGCCAGGGGCACCCCCCCACCGCCCAGGAAACGCTCGTCTTGAAGAACGTCCCAGGACGGCGGGGCCACAACGCCCCCACACACCGCAAGGGCATTGGATGAGGAATGCGGCGCGTCGCGTCCTCTTCCGAAGGTAACATCGCCCATCGGCGCGAAACCCTGGATTTGTTAGCGTGCCAGACGCTACGCAACGCAATTGCTACAGCAAGCGCCCCCCCCCCGCCTTCATGTTTCCACCGCCCCCGCGGCGAAGTACTGCAAAATCGTGCGCCGAATTTGTCGTCGATTTTTTTTTGCTTCCCCAGGTTCAACGCCGTTCCTGTCCAGGCCGGGCGTGGCCGCCTTCCTGGACAGGTGCGAGAAGCGCGGCATCAAGCGGATCGTGGTGCCCGACGAGAAGCGGTTGGCCCGCCGCTTGATGGCGCAGGAAGAGGCGATCGCGGAGTGCGAAAAGCGAGGTTTGGAGTTGGTGCACGCCTCGATCCCGGGGCTGTTCACCAACAAGGACCCATGCACAGTTTTCCAGAGACACATGGCCGGGGCCATTTCTCAGATGGAGTGCCAGGTGGCTGTGGGCAACATGAAACACGGGCGCGACCGAGCACGCAAAACAAGCAGGGAGGTCTCGCTGGCGAACGAGCGGAAGTGCGAGGGCAGGAAGAACTTCCTGCAGCTGCAACCGCGGTTTGTCCAGATATCCAGATGCCTGCGGCGCGCACCGCCAATGCCAAAGCAGCTGCCCCCCCCCGGTCGTCCATAATCATTATAGTCACCACGGTTTTTCTTTGACGCAGTGCCAGGGCCACGCGCGCCTAGACGCACGCCTGTTGCAGTTGCTCCTGCTCATGGTCCTCCTCCTTTGACGGGCCACGAGTCTCCCCAAATCGTCCCCTTGTTGCATATGCAGTTACCGCAGACATGTGTAATCGATCCCGCATCGTACCATATCTTCTCACTCCACATCCTGCGGCGCAAGTTTGAGCAAAGTTTCTCGTCATTCGGCCGCCCAGGGCGGCGACCGCAGAGCGGGGAGGGAAAATAACGAATTACCCAACACACACAACGATGGACTGCACAGGCGCGTGCTGCAGTAGTTTCGCGGAGCTGCTAGGCACAAACTTGAAAAAATGCAACAACTTAAACAAGTGCCCTTTTGCACGCGCCCCTGCTTCTGCCGATAAGGAGGGCAGGGGGGGCACGATAGCTTGCTCGGCGCGGCGCCGAGTTGTCAAACCCTCCACATGCCACGGACTCGGCGCGGGCCAGCCTGCAAACGCAGCACGTTTCACATGTGACGGACTCGGCGCGAACCTGGGGATGCCTTCGTGGGCGGCAGCCCCAGCAGCGTGCAGTAGCAACGGTAATTGGTGGGACAAAACATGTTGGCTCTTTCGGTTCGAGACGCAACCTCTAGTTCCAACTAGCCCAACAAAATACACCCGCGCGCTTAAAGGCCGAGCTCGGGCTGCATGTGAAGAGGCACGGAAAAGGCTCAAACGCCCTTGGCTCGTACCGCCTACTGCAGGGCAGAGTGGGAAGGAGGATCAAGCGCCACTTGCCCTGGCACCCCTGAGCGAAGGCCGCGTTGCGCGTAATCATACCTTCCAATGGCGGGCGCGCCAAGCTGCTAGTTTGACGCCGAAACTATTTGAAACCCGCGCGCGGCCATTTTCAAAACCACCATGAAGCATTTTCAACTTCAGCACCGCACGGCCCGCAAGCGGCCTAGAACCATGAGAAAACCATTTTCATCATTCTTGATCGGATCCCCGACATGCCCGTGACCCTATCCACCCGGGCCCCTCGCCGAGCGGCCCCGGGGTGGTCTTCGTCGGCCAGGTCCCGCCCAGTGGGCCCGTCGTGATGTTTCACAGCGCGAGGGGGTCTGGTCACGGTGGTCAAGGCGCACGGGGCTCGCGGCCCGCCAGCGGGACCCAGAGGGGCCAGGGACCGCGCCCGAGTGGCGGCGAGCGCGGCAAGGTCCGCAGCCGCCGGGGCGGGGGGGCGCCCCATGGCGCGCGGCTGGAGGGCGGCTTCCCGTCGGTGGTTCCTCTCCTGGTGGCCAGCGGGGCGGGCGCCACTGATACCCAAAGATCCGACGCACAGAAAAAATCAAGACGGAGATTCTTCGTAACTTTCAGCCTCTTAGAGGCCCTCGCTGGGCCCCGGGACCGTCAAAAAAGCATTCAGGATGAACAGCCGGTCCTGGGGAGTCGGTCGAGACTTCTGGGGACCCCCGTTACATTGAAACAAACCACGACATCGGATCTTTGGATAAGGCGGTCGACCAAATCCGGGCGGTCTGGGATACTCGTCTGCAGCCCATGCGTCGGGCTGGCGCTCGGTCCACGCAGTGAGGAAGGCGGGGAGCAGCTTGGGGTGATGCAGCTGCGGGGCCGCGATGGCCGCGGGGCAGCGGAGTGGCACCGAGGAGGCAAGGAACTCGGACCACGGCGAGCTGCCAGATCCTGGCGACTGCCTCAACCATCTCCCGGGGAGGTAGGTGGTGACAGGGTCGTCACACACACACGCCCGCTCTCAAGCGCACGCACACGCCTAGCGAAGGCGCCGCTCTTACAGGCACCAGTGCGGCGGCTGAGCGCTCTGGGCGTACCACGCGCCCGCGCGCGAGCGAACTTACCACTGGACTCCTGATGAAGCGGGAGTGTAAAAACCCCAGGCGTACAGTATCACCCAGGAGGACGTCACCACACATGACGGCAACACACACAATGCCGCAGGCCGGTATCCCAGCGCCGCCAGGCGAAGCAGCAATGCCGCAGGCTGGTATCCTGGAGCAGCAGTGCAAGCTAGCCCCACGCGCGGCGGCACTCAAACGGGCAGGTCGAAGGAGATGCGACAAGACACACAAGAACACGTACACGCACAAATATGCGCACCACGCGTACCACACGCGGCATGCACATAGCACGCGCAAGACACAGCACACAGGCCACGCGCGTGCACACACACAATCACACACTTACACTTACACTAACACTTACATATACATCTACAATCACACTTACACTTACACTTACACTTACACTTACACTTACACTTACACTTACACTTACACCTACATTCACATTTACACTTACACTTACACTTACGCTTACACAGTTACGCTTACACTTACAGCTAGTCTTACACATACACTTATATAAAAAACCTACACGTACAAGGGCACTTACATCGGCTATGTTACTTAACCGTGCACTTACACATAAACCGACAATGGAACTTACACTTCCGCTTATACTTACGCTTACAATTACACTCACACGCACACATATACACACAACTACTCTCTCTGCTATCCACTTGCACACGTAAAGACATCCACACAAGCAGACAAACAAACAAAAAAACAAACGGGGCGCGCACAAGTCATGCGCAACTGCTCCTGGGGCATTCATGAGGGCCTCCACCCACGTTCGCGGGCCCTCTCAGTCATGAGCGCGTTAAACGAGAGGCCACTGCCACTACTCCACGGCCCTCTCCTTGGGGCGCGTTCGGGCCCAAGTCTCGAGGCCCAATGCAGCCGTGGCGAGGCGGAAGGCTAGCGGTATCCTCGCCTTGTGCCTCCGCTGGCTCTCCATCATCCCTCCTCCTCCTCCTCCTCCTCCTCCTCCTCCTCCTCCTCCTCCTCCTCCTCCTCCTCCCTTCTGCCTGCGGGATGCCGCCCTGGGGCGTCGGTCAATTC